CGATAAAATCCAACTTGAATTGTCAAAACGATCAATAAAAACTCATTGAATGTTGTTTAAGTCAACAAATATCGTAAATACGCGTATTCTCCAGAATAATTCGTACTTGACCATGGCCATGTTGACTAACGACAACGCTCATAGTGAAAGTAGCAGACCGACGACGTCCTCGATTTGCTCTGGTTCGTTCAAAGATTTATGGAGAATATGGGATCTGTAGGATGTAGGGGAATATATGAATTGATGCTGATAAGGCAAGAGTCTGAGGTACGTTTCTTTTCCCTATATGGAACGTCGAGAAAATGACAGCATGATCAGCGATTTTTTAAAAATTCACACTCGTGATCCGACAGTGACATAAACATACTAGATCTATTCCCGTCTCTCAGTCCTGTTTGTCGCCAGTTTTATTTTATTTAATTAAATTGAAGTTTCTTGTATTCAATATTTAGCTAAAAAGACCAGAAATAACTGCTTTCATTGTTTATACGATAGCCCAGAATCTTCGTCAAGAAAGTAGTTCTGATTGAAAAATTCATCGATGTGTAAACTTTTTCTAAAACGTGTTCTCGTCCAATCAAAACACAGTTAATCAATAAATAAAATGAAGATTGGAATTATACAGTTATAAAAACGCTTGCCTTCAGTAGTGTTATGTAAAGGAAAACATTTGCAAATGTAAATATTACACTTTAAAGTGTAAATTTTACAGATTAAAGTGTAAATTTTACAGATTAAAGTTTAAAATTGACAGATTAAAATGTAAAATTTACAGATTAAAGTGTAAAATTTACACTTTTAAGTGTAAAATTTACAGATTAAAGTGTAAAATTTACACTTTAAAGTGTAAAATTTACACTTTTAAGTGTAAAATTTACAGATTAAAGTGTAAAATTTACAGATTTAAGTGTAGAAATTAAAAAAAAGTTAAGTGTCCAAGTGGCACTAATACGCTTCCGTACATTGCAAACTTTTTACGAAGTAAATATATTTTTTGGTTCGTAATTTATTTTTAGGTGCTTTTGCATAATGCTCGTTTATCTTACCTTCGGCTTCGTCTTGGAAGTTGGATATTTACAACCATGCAGGAACTTCAGCTTTTTAGTGCACGTGGACTGCAGCTGCACAAGTACCAACTTCTGTGAGACTATGTAACTGCGTGTTATCAGCATTGCTCAAAACCAAAGATGCTTTCAAAAGCATTTATTTTATCTCAGAATTTGAGATACTTCGGCCTTTTTATTTTATTGAATAAAAATTTTACAAATAGGCCTTGGCGAATATCCTATTCGAATGAAACCGACTGACTAAATCAGCCGTGCGTGACCACACAATGGGGTGATACCTTGTTAGCAGATAGTAGGGTTATCGAAAACTAATATGGCCGACTCCGATTTGGCATTTAAAAGACTTCAGTAGAGCTTTAATGATGAAGTATTTACGGACAAATGGAACGGAAATATATTCCATCTTACCTCTGTTGTGTTTTTCTACGGTAGAAATGTTAATTGTTTTGGTCGCTGAGCAGACCCCAAGATCTCCATATTGTAAACAATCTTGATTATGTAGACAATCCGACCTATTTCTGCACCAGCGCTGGTAAAAGTAAGCTGTATTTAAAATAAAATTTTCGGGATGTAGATGTATTCATCATTATAAACTCATAGATTTTGAATAGAAAAATTAATAGTAAACCAAGATGAAAAAAATGTGCAATATTTAAATTCTGTCACATCAGACGTACATGTATACAACGTGCGTCATTGCGTGCTGCTACATGTATGTAGATACACTGTATATGCATGTTAAATAGTACATTTCCAGAAACCCACTCCTAATATACATGTATTTTGAAAAATTGCTTCACAGGGTTTGTTTTCTCCAAAATTACTTTATCGGGGGTTAAGTTTTTTATACTACGAAAGCGTATTTAGCATACCATTTCTACACCAAGCAGCATATCGCATGTGTAGAATTTCTCGCTTGTAATAATAAATTGTAGGTTTCCTGGTCATTTTTCTAGACCGAATTGAAAGAATTTTTTGGTTTCATTTGGTTTTTGCATAAAATTGTCACGGAAGCCAATCGATTGATCATCGTCATGAAACAAAAATGTCTAACAGTTATATTCCTTAGTTATATTTAAATGCTCTTGATTCCGAAAATTCAAGTGCTTCTTTAGCGCGCTTCTTTCTCTATTGTCACGCCCTGCACACGTGTGATTTTTTCTTATCGCATCTATCGATGAACAAGTAGATTTATGAAGTAAAAATTAGTTTTTAGTACTTGTAAAAGACATTGAAAAGACAGAGAAATTATGTCGAATGTTTATCTATACGCACATCTATGACCTCTTGACCCCGTACCTGTATTTATACAGTTATATATACGCATTGCTTTCAGTAATGTTATATAAAGGAGAACATTTGCAAATGTAAATATTGGGGGAAAAAAAGAGTGTGGTTAAGTTGATTAATGTTTTGTATTATTTCCGTTATTGGATATGTAAATAGCAGGGATGTCAAAGAGTACCCTGTACCTTGATCTATTGGTACTCGGTTACTCGGATGTAGATTTTTGAATATTTCTATTTAACTTAATATTCATTAATTTTTAAAAACGTAAAATGGTTATTGCATTTGTACATACAGTAATTAAAGTTTCCTACGCCTTTAAATGACCGTTATTGCCAGGGGCAGTGTTTTTACAGTAATCATTGTGACTAAGCACCTGCTACATGGCTTTTCTCACCTTCGACTGTCTGCTACCCTTAATTTTTGGTTTGCTTTAATTAATGATTGTTTTCACTGAACATCGTATAAGGCGATTACAATTATTTAAATAAATTACATAATTTTGTCATTTCTACAAGAAGCCGTAATTTCTCAGGAAAAGAGACAGATGATATTACACGTGCAATTATTGATATGGTTGTGTTTGATTACATGCAAATGTTTGAAGGCAAAGGCTTTAAAAAACTAATATCCATCGTTGCACCAAAGTACAACTTGCCGTAATACTATAGAATTAAGGATCGAAAACGTGTACGGAGATCGTTAATCCGTTCTGTTAGGCGAACTCGATGAAGTTGATACTGTAGTTCAGACGAAAGGTACTTTGATGTGAAACGCAACACAAAGTAACATTAATTACCCGAGGCATAAAAACATGTCTCTGGCAATTGTGATTTATGTCTCAGCAATTACGGAGCAGATTATTATTTTAAATAAAATCACCGTGAACCATTTATGATTTTATTTCTTGTGTTTATCTGATAAATAAATTGATATGTTAATTTATTAAATTTCGTCGGACACGAAGTGTTCATAATTGTTACAACAGAAACAAACTTACGGCTAAATCTTCCATCAGAGCATGCAGTTTTATTTCTACAAGAGTTTACAATGTTATCAGTTTACTTGTTTATATTTATTTACACTTTTACCGAGTTATCGGGTACTCGATCGGAAAAACGTCCGCGTAATCGAATATTAAAAATTGACCGATTTGACATCCCTACATGTAGTAAATAGCTACAATTATATCCTAGTTTGGTTTCATACTAGAGTGTTCACAAATATGGCTATTTTAAGTGTATTATATGGTTTTGTCAGTGAGAGAAGTGGCTGTTTGTCAAGTGTTCGTCCACGTTTTGATTGTAGTCGATTTTCCATGAGTGTCCAATTCTAGAAATTTTTCTGATAAGGGGGAAAGCCAAGGAGTTGTTCATTTTACTGTTTGGGCATTTTGGGGTTTCCAGTAGGTTTTCGTACTCCAAGAAGGAGTTTGGGCGTATGTTGAGGTGAGTGCACGAGCAGGTTGGTGACGTACATGTAGGACGTGGTGCGCAAAGACAGTGTATACAGGTATACAGAGATTAGGTGACATTTCCGACTGTATAATTAAGTTAATTCTTACGTTGAGTAGTGGGGAACCTGTGAATTCAGGGCTGGAGTGTTTGAATTATATATCGATAAAATAAGTTAAATATTTTACTCAGCATACGAAAAGTATTTAAAATGTACCATTTGTTTCTATTTTATAGCACTGTATAAATAAAGCTCGACCGCTATTGTAAGCTCCTTTCTTGCAGGCATCGAACATTTGTGAGATATTTCTTATGTTGTTGAAAACAGTTACTTTTATTTCAACAATGTCATATTGCTTGCTGTCGTTGTTCTTGTAATTAAAAATTGCTGTGCAATTGGAATTGCATCCAGTCTTTCCTGAAAAAAATGTCAATACAAATGAATTAATTATAGAGATGTTATTATAAAAAGAAATAATATTACAGTATGATATTATATAAATATTGCATGTAGTTGAGTGTAACATTGAAAATTTTCACCCCAAGAAAACCACTGTCAACCGAGGCGCAGCCGAGGTTGACAATGGTTTTCGAGGGGTGAAAATTTTCAATGTTACACTCAACTACATGCAACATTTATTACATGTATATTATACTGAATGTTTTATACAAATACATATTACAGTGAACCGTGCGCACATAAATTCCGCGCAATCGCTATTTTTTGTAATACCACCCGTCGTCAAGCAATGTTGACTGTTGCTACGCAGGGGGGCGTGGCTTCATTATTCAGCGGGTAGTAGTGTTTATTATCAAATGTTTCTCGACGAATCAGATTCAAGCAATTTACATGAAAGTATAATATTTTCTTTTACAACTTTGGGGTATAATTCCTCTTTATCAAAACAATTTGGTATTTGGCCCTCCCGTCGTCAGCAGCAAATTAATTACGAATATTTGATATAATCAATTAATTTAAAAGATAGAACAAAAGATATGGAATATTATAACTGATCGACGTGCGCCAATTCATATCAGTATTTGAGTAGACATTTCCAAGTTCATTTCAAATCAATTTTGTAAAGCCAACGTTTTTGCAAATATAGATCAAGATTAGCTCCCATATTCCAAAAGATGATTTAGCTTTTGAAGAAAATGTGATAAAGTGTTCATGGAATGAGGTTTTTGTTTTAAAAAATCTTCTTTTTTTTTTTGTTCTTGGGGTAAATGACATTCTTTTTTCCATCTTCGGCTAAGATGAAAAAAATTGAAATTCTGAACTTACATGACTGTACAGAATATCATTAGTAACCTCTCTAATTATGATTTGGCTACTGTATACAATTTTAGAGGAATTCTGAGAACCAAGAGTATGTAGAAAACGTCATTTGGACCACCCTTTTGAAACCTTTATGTGAAACTGAAAATTCCCAAACTAATTGCAAATGCTCAGGGCACAAGTAACAATCTTTTATAGAATAACACGGTATTTTGGTAAAAATGTAGGAGGAGTTTTTTTTTTTTTTGTTACCTTCCCTTGGGTTAAAATTGAAAATCCAAAACTATATCGCCTCTACAGGACAAAATCTATTACATTTCAGAAGGTCAATTGGTTATATGAAATGAGATTTTGAGGACGACGAGTATGGCGATGTACGGAATGGGGTATCAACAATCAATCTTATTAAAAAACCTTTCATCTCGCTTTTGGAAATCTTATTTGTCGCTTTACGAGTGGGAAGTAAAGCTACGCAGAGCGAGATGAATTAGTCTAATTTTAATTAGACTAAAGAACAATTATACTAACTTTCTTTAGAAAGTGTGGGTATAAAACATTAAAGGCAAAAGCAACAAGTGCTTTAAAAACTAAACTAAATAATTCATAGTTTTAGATTCTTACATCATAATTTTGAATGTTAAAAAACCAAGTGAAATGAGCGGGGGAGAAAAAGTAATTGTTTGGATGGAAAAGGGAATAAAAAATTGTAATATTGTACCTCTAAACTTTCTTATACTGCTTCGTAAATCTTCTAACGATCTATTACACGCGCTTCCTTCCGATACATAAGTAAGGACTTCTCTTGGACAGACCCTTCTGCAAATATTAACAAACTGAAATTACAGCTTGCAGTGTTTGAAAAAAAGCGCCCAAATACCATTACACATCTTTTTTTTAGATTTGGAAGTACAACTTAGAGCTAGTATTGATTAATAACTCCGTCAGAATGCTTGATTTTTTAAAATAAAATAATTGATTTATCAAAATTAAGAAGAAGATTAATAATATCTATTATTTTTTTTACCTTATAGTTTCTTTTCTATCCTGACCTAGTGCAAATGAGATAGTAAGTACTGCGATCTTTAAACCTTTAAAAGATAAGGATAATTATAATAATATAATTTTCCATGCGTGAAGTGTTGTACCAATACTTATCAGTTTTGTTTTTTGATTTTTGTCTTATTCAAAACAATAGAAGAGAGTAGCCATATGTTTACAGCTGTGTGTTTCAAAACATATGCTACACTCTTTATCAAATCCATCCAACTAAATGCCTTAACAAGGATAGTTTGTTGACATTTAGTGTAATAATATAAACAAAGCATTAACTATATTTAAATAAAAACATAAGCTGCAGTAATTAAACTTAAGGTATTATTTATAATTCACAATAGTAAACTTTCAGTTACATGTAACTACATGTACATGTACCTGTATACTAAACTCTGGTTACTATTTTAAATCATTTTTGAAAGTTCCTCATTACCCTGAGCGAAATAAAATTCATTACACAATTATTAATGAAGAGTGCAGTTCGTAGTAAAAAAAATCTAAATGTTATTGATAGTACACATTTCATAGATCCTTTTATATTTTTTTACAAAGCAAAAATAAATACTGGTGCCTTTTCATAGTGTGGACTTACCAAACACAGTTCTTAAAAACATTCCTTGGACTTAAAACGTTGTTTAATAAAAATGTACCTCGGGCACATACATGTACATTATAGTATACAAGTATTTAATGTCAATTTGTCAACGCAGATTAATATACGTCCTGGTCGCATCAAATATCAAGTGTAGAACACTATAGATTCAGTTTTGTACATAAAGTGTTATTATTCATTTTTTGGAACGGATATGATCCTGACAGTTAATTTCCTTTGTCAGATACATGTAGGCTTTGATACGTAAGGCAACCAGATGTAACTTCATTTTTTGGCTTATTGTGTATCTTTATGTAATGAACTCAATACATGTTATTCTAACCACTTACCGGAGCTACCATGCAGTTTTTTTTAAATAATTCATTTTGTCTCCTTCTGCAGGGGAAACTTTCCGTACTTTATTTCTAAACTTTTGCATATATCGGGTTGAAATTTTTTATGTGATTTTCACTTGATGAGCAATAGATCAGCTTTGCATTTCCTTTAGCTTCAACTATATTTACTTTTCAAAGCATACCTAAGCCAAAGGCTTAAGAGAGCTTTTCTGATCACATTTTGTCCAGTATGTCTGTCTGTCTATTTGTACTTCTATGTGCTCGTTTGTTTGTCCGTAAAGTTTTCCATTTTTGACACTTCATCTCAAAGAACCAAATGGACCACTTCAGACTTATAACTTGCCATAAAGTATCCTCCGAGGAACGGAAGTAATTTCTTTTCCAATCGAAGGGCAACTCCCTTCCCAGATAAGATATTTACACATAAGAGAAAAATTTATTGCATTTAACAAATTTTTTTCTCAAGAACCAATGAGCTAGGAGAGAAGAAATTCAAGTAGTTCAGATCATTATGTATTCAACGCATGACTCCCAGGGTAAAAGATTGAACATACATGTAATGAACTTTTTTTTTATATATATGCATATATAGGAATAATCTTTTAATCTTTTATTCTCAAGTGTTACAATGTCAATAGTTATTATATTCATATGAAAACATCCTCAGGTAGTGTAAAATCAAATTAGTGTAAAATCCTGACCTCAGGGTGAGGTTGGGCCATTATAGAGGATTAAAGTTTTACATAAGAATGCAAAAGAAAATCTTTTTCAAAAAATCTTCTTAGGAAAAACATTGTCAGGATTGGTCATATTTATATTGAAGCATCCTCGGACAACTTGGGCTAGGGATAGGAAAAAACTAAATTAAATTTTCTCGAACATAGAAAAGATACGATTTGTCATGTTTACTGTTAACCAACTTTTATTCGTAAGCGAGAAATATAAGCTACGTGAACATGTAGTTTTGCGACATTTAAATTTACGAATATTTTTGGTTGTGAACATTTATTTTTTCTTTATATTGATAGAAAATGTTTCCTCAGTCGCGAATATTAATTGTCGCGGATTATTTTCAAAGTTACATCTATGAATTGCAAATAAAAGTTGACGCAAAGAATTGTTGATTTACAGTAATTAAATGTAAGCATTAATCGGAAATGTAGATTCATTTAATTTCAAAATCATGACCCCAAGGGCTAAGCTGGGACAACGATGAAAGAGAAAAGTTTTACATAGGAGTATATAGGAAATCTATTTTCTTTTTAAGAAAAGGAAAGCCATGATTGTATACAATACAGTATATTTGGAAAGTATCCTCAATTAGTATGGATTTAAGTTTATTCAATTCATGATCCTCTTGGGTAGAGTACGGCAACAACGAAGTAACAAAATTCTATCAAATTGCTGCATTTTCCATTTTAATGGGAACCGGGTTACACATGAAATTGGTGATAAAGCATTACAATTGCTCCGTCCTCTCCACGTGCATTACAATTCAACAAAATTGAATCAAAATGACCCGAGAGTGACAAATTATTGCTTTGCCTATCCTTAAAACAAAATATTAAAATTTCGCAAGCAATATTTGCCTAAACTATGACTGTTGATCGAGATTTGAAAAAAAAATCAACATTGCATAAGAACTTTGACTTAAAATCAATTTGACTAAACATGATAAAATGTAATCAAGTACTTCAAATCTTCAACACTCAAAAACTTCTTCTTTGCACAAAGATCATACCTATATAATAATTCAATGATCATAATTTAACAAAATAATCTGAATTCGTCTCGAAAAAACAGACATGCAATTTTCACAAATAAAATATCTTTTAAAAATATTATATATGTACATGTCAGTCGAGAAAAAGCAAACTTACAATGCAATGTATATGGTACTAACAAATAAAGTCCAATATTTATATCTCGCGATAAATGGTAAACTAAACTGGTAAAGTTAATTCAATCCATAATAATTTTAATTAACTAGTTCGTAAAAATTTACCCTTTGAATAAGGCATGACACTAAAAACAAGCTAAACTGAATCCCTGTTACCAAAGATGTGTTAAGGAAAGTAAACAGGAAGACCGACTGAAGGACATACATAATTATGTTAATAAGCAGATGGAAAAAATGGTCCCCGAACGATATGTGTACAGAAAAAGTCAGCATTTAGCTATTAAGCTCAGGTAAGCTACAACTGATATAAAAATAAGAATTATATCATATCATTGAAATTGTAAGATGAATGTTTAAAAGAGTTTTTCCTATTCCCCCTTTTTCGAAGGTAAAATAGTCATGTAAATCTTCAGAAGTTTTAGATACAGCATAGTCACTATGTGGAACAAATCTAGTCTGAGGATGGGTTGACTGCCCTGTTTATCTGCTCAGATGTGTATATTCCTCTTCATTTGACATCCCAGAGGTGGCACCTGTTAGGGCGTGGTCATAAACATCTATAGTGTCATCTTCTATTTTTTCATTAAGATGATTGTAAATATCATTAGTTTCTGATTTTACTTGATGTGTATTGGAATATTCAGGATCCCCTTTGATAATTGGTTTCACGTGTGAAATTTTCTGAAATGAATAGAATCAAAGAATTTTCAAAATGTTACTCATTATTACAAACAATGCAAGTTTCTGATGAAATATTGCATTTCAAATTGATGAAAATACACACTGATATAGTAATCTAATTATGCCACACAACATAATGTATGAATGTATATCAGTTTAATTAAAGTTCCATAAAATTTTCCCTACGCCCCCCCTCAATATAATATACCGCTTGTTGCAGGTTCTTTGTATCCTTTTGAATGCTAGTTGGCAAATCTTTTTCATAGCTGATGTTGTTCACAAATTTGGCTTCAGTGTTTCTGGAATGATAGTTTTGAGGAACTATAGAAATTATAGTGGATAAATCCAGGTATATATTTATATATTTTTAGAAGCATAATGAAGTATAAAAAGAATGGTTTAAAAACAATATCTAATTTCATGACAAAAACATTGGTAGAAGTAGCTATTATACATGTATGTACTTATACATACACCGTATAACCTGTTTTTATATACAGTATACACCGTATAACTTGAACTTATACTATACTTAGGAATCAAATAAATCATTTACCGGTTGTGCTTCCTTCTCCTTCTCCGTACATGCATTACATACATAACCGCAAGACATGTCAGAATACCAAACACGAATCCTCCAATAACAGCAGCAACATTTTGTGTAACGCTTGAGTCTCCATGTTCTAAAATTAACAATAAAAAGTCATTTGTTCTTAAATCTAATTTTGATCAGTAAGTTTTGTCATGGCATTATATTGATTCAAATTATGTACTGAGAAATGATAGAAGTCAAGATTATAAATTGTATTGCTGTTGTTCTAGCTGAAGGTATAGAGATTACTATGAACCATTTTTGCCCTATCCTTCCAAGAGAGAAAATAACAGGATATTTTTACAATGTAATTTTTCCAACAATCATTATTAATGAAACGATAAGAATATTTTATCTTGAATACCCCCTTTTCAATATAAAATATCAATTTTAATCATGTACCTAATCGATCCCAGTGATAATTACTCAAACAAATTTAATGTCTCAATTTCATCGCCTTTTCTGAGTTTCTCTTATATCCCGCTTTCTTTTCTGAATTATACATTCCTTTTTTCTTTCCAAACTTATTTACTCTATAACCCTTTGTTATGTTGTTCATTTATTAGTGTATTTGTACATGTAGTATATTGTGAACAAATAGAATTATTACGAGTACAGATTCCACCTAACGTAATTATACGAATAATGGATCTGTTATGTCTGTGTAAATTGTTACTTTTTTGTAAATTTCATTTCTTAATTTTAGTTTTTTGTCCAATGCAGAGATTATAATTAACATCCTTGATTCATCAATATCCATCCTTTTCATTATGATCAATCTGCTCATCAAAAATAAAATATTAGCTTTCCAATCTATATTTTAGTTGAGAAAATTTCAAAGTTGTGATATGATGCGGATAAAACTTTAAAATTGCTTGTTAGTAGTTGATTTTCATTGACATAATCTTTTGGTTTATTTTTAAAACAAATAAAAATATATTCAATATTTATTTCTTCTATAAAGGTCTGTTTAAGTTTAAATTTTATTTTTATTTTTTTTTTTTTAGAATTCAAGTGATTTCTCATCGCACAATCATATTTACAAATTTTGAAATTAGATCACCTTGAAATGGTTGTAAACTCTTTGATGTTTCAGTTTCAGCAGTTGGCAATTCTTTTTTAGCTACAAAATTATAGTTACAGTGTTAAATTCAGTACAACAAGGTAAACGATTTCTTTAAAAAAGAGCTTCCACAGAATCTCTTTCATTCTCTATTCCTACCCCAATTGCTTTCTCTCTCTCTCTCTCTCTCTCTCTCTCTCTCTCTCTCTCTCTCTCTCTCTCTCTTCATTATGTATCTTTTTTTCTGTTTTTCTTTATTTAGTTTATTGGAAAGATATGGTGTGTAGGAAATACAGAATATCAAAGACGGAAAATAGAAGAAATATTGTCTCATTTAAAACTAAATAATGGAGTTTATAACACTTCGAATCGAATACAACTATATTATAAAATTGCTAGAATCCTTCGAATACGAAAAGTAAATACAATTTATATGCCCCGAAATAGCTGTAAAACATTTATTTATATAACTTTGTAAACATTCAACCAGGACAATCCAATTTTATGACTATCCATAATCAAATGACTATTAACGTAGTTAATGTTTTAAAGAAAATCTTTTACAGCAATAAGCTGTGATGATTTTAGAGAGGTATACATTTCCTGTCAGAACGAATTGACCCCTTATCCGTAGAAGAATTTGAAACTCTGAAGACAATGATTAAAAAAAAACGGCTTTCATTGATCAAACAAAATCATTCAAAGTTTAAAAGATTTTAAAAGGTAATTGATGCTAAGTTCGAGTCTCAACTGGCATTTTCCTTTGGTTTCCTGATTTTCACTGGACGACACGCAACTGAAAGTTTTCAACAGAATTTCATATGTTTCTTTTTATTATACATATCCTGACCTCAGAACTCCATGTTGTTATGTCGACATCTACATGTATTATATTGTCCCAGCATCTTTCTTGGGGATGTCTCAGACAAATTTAAATTTAATGAAACTTTTCAGAAATGAAAACCAGCGACTGTTATGTGTCATTTTACTCCTTCAGTACGCTAGAGCATGGAGCGATTACTTTCAACATTAAAATAAAGAAAATATAATGACAAAATATTTAGGTCCACAATCAAAGAAAATAATTTTAATTTAAAATTAATTGTAACGACCAACAAAAAAATATGTTAGTTAATTTTAGAATTTTGAATTTAAAAAAACATCCATGACAGAAACATCTTTTTTTTAATTAAATAAGATATTTTTTGTAAGAATCGAAGTTATCGCTTCGCTTTACATAACGATAAAATTTGGAATATACCTTCAAATGCGTACGCACATGTTAAGTTTTAAATCTCATGAAATTTTTTATAGTAATAATAAAGTTACTGAACTCAGGTATTTTCCTTTAACAGTAGAATACAATTACCGACTATAGAAATAGAATTTTTTTAATGAAAAATCTAAATAAAATTGCGTTATGCTCTTGCACTGATGTCATTTATGTTTACATGTAGAGTTATGTGGGACAAAATAATAATTTTGGTTTTACTTAGCTTAAAAGAAATCTGAAATGTAATTATTATATGCAACAATGTACGAAAAAACACAAGACCGAACTGCAAAAGTGGCATTTTTATGTTAAAGAAAACCACACTGCATTATTCAGCATAAAGCATTTAATTTGGAGGAGTTTTTTTCTTTTTTCTTTTTTTTTTTTGATAATTTACTTATCAACAATTTTCTCTCCTAAGACAATATTCTAAATACTTATGTCATATGACTGTAAATTATCAAAACCTAGTTTGCTGTGGTACATGTACGATTTTTTACGTATTGCGTACAAAGACCATGAAATATTTTCAGTTCTGGTTAATGTATTGATTTGTATTTTGATGATTCGTTCTCATAAAAACGATTTCACATATTAAAAACAACGTTTATGCTTTTTTTTTTAAAAAATTAATTTAAAGCTTAAATGCTATTATGCTATTATCTCATCCCCGATTTATTCCGTATTGTCTTTTCTCTAGTTTCGGGTTCAGTTAAACAAACAATCAAAAGTTAACCCTGACATTTTAATAATGCGAGAAAGCGGATTTATAGCATAAGAATATGAAAATACAATTTCCACTCACATGGTTGACATGTTCCATTTGCAAAATAATGTTCATCCATACAGACACACATGTTCTTTCTACAAACACTTGAGTTTGTAGTTCCATTACACTGTTCATCATACCAACAGGTTTGATTGACTTCTAAATCAGCTATTATGAATAAATTATGAGTTATGTGTCCATTTTCGATATTACAGTTAAGCAATATAGTAATAACATTTAATGTACATTAAGTAACAACTTTTTGAGTCATTTTAGTTTTCACACTGCACTGAGGGACAACTATTATGAAATAGGCAAATTCAAATAGTTTATATTGACCTATTTTAAAAATATAAAAGATTGAACCATGTATTAGAAATAATCAACATAATAAAAGCAACAAATATATGATGTAAAAATTATTTATTCTCTTCCCTTACTTTGTAAGCAATGTCCTTCAATCTCTGTTAATCCTTCGACACATAAACACGTAGAGGTTGCATTGTCACATACTCTATTATACCCTGCTTTGCTGCATTGTATATCAAATACACAGTGTTCACCAATCATAACATCAACTACCGTAACGATAAAAGCAAAACAGTGGAATAAGGACATAACTACTACCTTGTTTTACAATTCCAACACAGTGCATGTAACATAAAAATGTCATTTTTAAGTGAGATCTTTGAAAACTTTAATAATAACAATATTTTTTTTTATTTCTAGAGATTAAAAGATTATGTTGTGTAAAAAAAATATCTAAATAAAATTTCTTTTTTCTTTTTAAAACTGAAAAAGACACAATGATATACACTAAAAAGAAAACAAACACATGTATATATGTTTGCTACATTTACTTTTCATTTTACCTTTTCTACAAATCCTACTAATTCGCACGTCGTCATTTTCGCAGACGCAAGAACCAATATCGCCTAGGTCTCCGTAATTGTCCTTCAAGCATTTTTCATTCGCACCACACCAACTGTTTTCTTCGCAGCCACCTAGATCAAATAAATTTTAAATCTACATAAAACAACTATCACTATAATTTAATGGACAAAAAGACATCCCATACCACATTGATCGCCTATTCTTTAATGATAGTTTCAATCTCCATCAAAATTTCACTTCCTATAACTGGATGTATGTGTTTCTTTGATAAGAATTCGTTACCCTATTCTGCTCAGCAGTCAAAGGAATACATGTATACATTTAAAACCTACATGTAAGTCTACTTTCTAAAATAATGTGTCCATTTAAGTATAACTTATTTCTCTAGAACTAATGCACTAACCACCTCCATTTATCTTTTATGAAATACAATCAGAGTATCCAAACATTTGTTGCAAAAACATGCATAAAAGCATGTTTACACAGTTAAAGGTACATGGACATAGATTTGAAGTTACTATTTTCTGTATAACATCACGACTTATATATTTCAATATCATTTAACACAAAAATAATTGTAAGCCGCAATACAGCTGCACATCGTGTGATTTTTCATTCAAATGTACCCAATGTATCATTCAGGAATAAGGTCCAAAGTTGAAGAAAGCATTTTGAGGAAAATTAATATTCTCTCCTCATACAAATTAACGTAATTAGAATCTGCCGGAAAATCAAAGGGTCGTACAACTTAGTTCTGTTTACTTGTACTACGTGAATTCTAAAATGGCACATGCTTACAATGTAGGTTTTACAATCATAATGGAATATTAGGTAAGAACAATTCTCAGTATCAAAATATCTTAATTTTCCGGTAAATTAATGATAGTTAACATTTTAGTCTGCATTCAGACGAATTTAACATGATTGCGTACAAATGTTGAAATTTTGTGCATTTGGGTGCAGGAAGGAAAATCCACCAAATCATACGTCATCGCGGCAAAATGTCAAACAAAATATCTTTCTACAGTTCGAATACAATTTGCACTTCAAATTACACTAATTTTTATGTATCATAAGTGCATTTTTATGTTGAGTTTACACTGATTTTTTTTCTTTGAAAGCCATGGGGATACAAGAAATAATAGCATGTATCAAAAAACCTGTAGGGTAGAACCTTCGCGAGCCCCACGTGAATGTTGCCGAGATCCCGTTTCTTCTTCATCCAATGATTATATCAATCTTCCAAGTAAATTTATGTCAGGAAAGTTGCTTTTTAATTTCAAGCCCTATTTTTTTTTTGCTTTTGGTCGATTTTGTCAATGTAGCAGGCCTACCAGGCTTCCCTCTCTTACCATGCTGTTTTGTTCATGTAAACTATACGCATGCGTGTATAGCATGGAATGTGGAACCTCGAACACGTGTTCTAAGTATTGTCAATGCTTTGGTTAATACTAATAAAAATTCGATATAATCGTTATAATAGCCACTCTTCATACACAGCATATTGTCAATCTCTCACCAGGGGGGCGTATTACGCCAACAGTATACAAATCACAGGAAGCGCTTTGCTGAAGTTACCGTTGTCGATAGGTAGCGCCTAAGTTTCCGGTTTTGGTTGCAGAAAGATAAGGTTACGTGCCATAAAGCGATGTTGATAGGTAGCGTCTTATGGAAGTTTCCGGTTTTTTGATTATGTACGCTTCACAGGTGTGATCAATTTGCGAAACCCTGTACACAATACTTAACTCGGAATAATGATACTTGTGAAGGAATTTTGTTTTCTAATATTTCTTCTCCGAATATAATTATTTTTCTGGATTAAAGTTATAATATTTATCCTTAATACAAAACAAGATCGCCTCTTTTCCTTAGTTTTAAGAATAACAGTTAAATATGTGAGAGTGCAAGAACGTGCCAATCAAATCCAAAAATTAAAGTTTCAATAACTTTAAGATGAAATGAAATTTTTGATTTATTTTTGTGTTATATGCTATAAAAATACATAAGTCGTGATATTATACAGAAAATATTAACTTCAAATCTGTGTCCCTGCACTTTTAAGAGAAAACATGAAATAATGAAAGTGATATATTTTTCAAATGAAAAAGATATGAAGGGCGTATCTAATCCACTTTTTTTCACATGAAAAATACTAGTATCAATTTCATTATTTTAAAACAGAGGACATAATTATCTAATCCACTTTGCACTATGGGACTTTGAAACCGTCTTTCGGATGAGACCGTATACACCGAAGTCCCCTGCCGCAGTAACCCCCCCCCCCCCCCGTTCACACATAGAAGCCGCTTCTACTACTATCAAAGTGTGGTCAAAAGCGTGGCCGATCGTGACAAATCGAAGGAGGAACGTCGTGGGGTCCTCAGAAGCGTAGTATGATCGCAGTAGAGTCTTCATGATCGGAGAGCTCTACGCTCTCACCACGCTTATTTTGAACATGTTCAAAACAAGCGTAGCGGGATCGTGGCCAACAAGAATCGGAGTGAAGTCGTAAAAAGGGCGTAGTAGAAGCGCCGTATTCGTACAAGCAGCGCGGAAGCATCGTAGAGAGATCTTTATGATCGTAGTAAAAGCGCCGTAAGAGCGTAGGAACTTACCAAGCACGCTCATACAACGCTCCCTCTACGTTCGTACTACTATCTCACTACGATCTCTTTACGTGTCTGAAGATCCGACGAAGACCTACAATGACCTTACGCCGATCATATCACGACCTATCAGACAAGAGTTTGTTCTTATACCGCTGATATTTGACCAATCATGATCTGTTAACTACACGTAAAGGGTGACACTATACTTGATGATCATTTATAATTGAGCATTTTCACATCTTGTTACAGTTATAATAATTGAAAATGCCCTAAACCATGTGGTAAAGGCCAGAAAAAAACTGCGGTCGCAAAATATGTATCATTGTTAAAATTGTACAACAAAAATCTGCAGTTTCAAGATATATTAACATAATCACCAAAATCGTACTAGAAGCGTAATGCAATCGTAATATGATCGGCACCACCGTAGCGACATCGCGGTACAGTCATCTAGGTCTGTGTAGCGTCGTAGTATGGTCTTCAATGTCGTAGTGGCAGCGCAGCGCAGCGTAAACGCACTGAGCACGGCTGCTTGTCTGCAACGGTCTGCGTAACATCGTAGTAGAAGGCTTAGCTTGTTAGCAGCACGTTTGACGTATGGACATCGAAGTAAGGTCGTAACGAAGACCATAATTTGCCAAATTGCTCTATTTTGACGCCGATCGGCTGCAATCTGCCCCGATCCAAAAAGTTTTCAGATCGTGGCTTGATCGGGTTGATCGCCGTAGAGTCGCAGCTCTGTGTGAACGGCGGGTAAGTCCTCTCACGAAAAAGACCCCTCCCTTCCCAATGGCCATGCGTGCCAGGACAATATTTGCAGCTCTCAACCAGAGAATGGTAGCATCTCCATATGAGTGAAAAATTCTCGGTGGTTTATTCTATAGATAGAAAAGATGATGCTTAACAGATATTTCAAAATTCATTGATGTACCTAAAGCGGTTTTAATTTTATGGAGCTAGTCCACGAACTTTTTGATACCCCCTCGTATATATACTAGTATATAAAGAGTACTTTTAACACTCCTCATGCGAAGAGTTCAAAAGATGTTATAATTACATGTAGAGCTTAAATGGTACGTTTGTCATGCTTTCTGGAGTGTAAGTCCACTTATTTATCAACGGGTATATAGTATTAAGAGAGAATGTCACGAACCATCAAGCTTCTTCTATGTATATCATGGAAACTTAAAAATTTGCTATTTTAAATGGCATTGATAGTAAAACATTTGGGATGCGCTGATAACATTTTGCTATAAAACACGTGGCCTTTGTGAACCGTTACCATGGAAACCAAGACCAAACATCCCCAGGTGTGCAACCATATCTGTGAAAGTATATTTACTACATTTTTAATTTGTAGATACATAGGTGTCACATCTTATTAAATCAAAGTTAAAACACATAAGCATAGAAACTTATTCTAATATTTTTACCAATAAACATCACTGGTTAGAAAGTTAAAAAAATATTTTTATGCTTCTATATTCCAGTTTTGTCTTAAATAATTAAGCCAAAATAAGAATTAAATTCTTTAATCTACAACAAGATTATCTCAATCCGGTATTAAAAATTAAACAAACACTTCCTTCTCTACAAAGTTTCGGCAAAAAAAATGAGAAGCATATGTTGCAGATAATTTTTATGAGCAATTTTCGGAACGTTTACTTCTCTTAAAGCGCTTGAAAAATTCAAAGAGTTACTTCCCTTAGCATCTTTTGTGTAAACAATGGAAGCAATATGGCGGCAAACTCGGCTGATGAGCTCTGTGTTGAGTCTGTGACAACGGGGCTACAGTGGAACAGAGCTTAATTGAGCTGACTGGGAAGCAGACTAGTCATGTAAGTAGGACTTAAATATACAGATTTAAGATATAAATTCATATCATAAAAAACAGTAATTAAAAATTTAATTAGGGAACGTAATATTTGTCTGCAGACGACCAAAGACTTGGTAAAGTCTAACGTTAATGCCATACTTAGGCTAATCATGGTAATAATAATATGAGTTTTAATAAAATACATGGACTCCTGTTAGGTAAAAATGTATGGGATATAACACATAATATCCTGTGCATATCCATTCAGTGTAGCATATCAAGAAATGATCGAATTTCCTCAGAATTTTGTTACTAAGCTTGTCGCATATGGATTCTTTGATATTTCAAATGCTCGTAGTTTCTCTTTGATATTTTTTAAGAAATCTCTTTTTAGTTGTTTTTTTACATGCAGAAGTCCATTTCAATTTTTTCCCAAAGTTACATGTATATATTATCCTCCAGTGCTTAATCCCCCAGTGCCTTGGATTTTGACACCTTATACACGGTCCTACTAAACAGAGAACCCTAGAGAACTCTAGAGAACCCAAGAGAACTCTAGTTTTATATGGTGAATTTTGATACAATTTATGCATAATTGGGTTGATTTTTACTAAATAAATCATATTTTATACATAAAATCAATTAAAAAGTTATTTTAGGGAAGTTTTCAACAGAAAAACGTAACAAACTAGATGGTGAAATATTTTTTCAGACATCCCGATCCCGATTGAATTTCAAAAATATTTGAACATTATAGAAATAATTTTTATCAAGTAATTTCACGATTATTTTTCACATTATTTTTTATTTAATTTTAATAGTATATGGAATTCTTAATCATTTACTCTGATCGAAAACATTAATTAATTTCTTAGAAGATTTGTCACAAAAGCTATGATGAAGTCAAAGAGATTATAGTACGTGTACTCTGTAACTATCCAAGATATTTTCATCAAACTTCATATGCTGATAGGTATTGATGAGAGCTTTGCAACTGCATCAACATTTTTTGACTTTGACCTTTCCTTTGACATTAACATCACTTTTATTAAATAAGTGCTTTGCCCAGTTTTAAAGATACCATTCAAGATAGTGTTATTAAACTTCATATGCTGATACATACTGATGAGAACAATTCAACTGCATCAACATTTTGACCTAGACCTTTCCTTTGACCTTGACCTCACTTTTCCTAAATTATGTCAAACTTCAAATGCTAATACATACTGATGTAACCAATTCCACTGCATCAACATTTTTGACCTTGACGTTTAATTTGACCTTTACCTCTCTTTCATCAAATTGTGTTTTAGTCAGTTTTAAAGAAATCATTCAAGATATTTTTATCAAACTTCATATGTTGATACAAAAAGGATGGGAGGTATTCAACTGCATCAACATTTATACCCTGACCTTTCCTTTGACCTTGACCTTACTTTTCCTAAATTAGTGTTAAACTTCATATGCTAATACATATTGATGTAAGCAATTCAACTGCTTTAACTTTTATGACCTTGACCTTCATTTTGACCTTGACCTCACTTTTATCAAATGTGTATAAGTCAGTTTTAAATAAACTATTCATAATATTTTTTCAACTTAATATGCTGATACATAATGATGAGAGCTTTTCAACTGCATCAACATTTTTGACCTTGGCATTTCCTTTGACCTTGACCTCACTTTAAAGAAATTAGTGTCAAACTTCATATGCAGATACATACTGATGTAAGCAATTCAACTGCATCACTATTCAAGATATTTTGATCAAATTTCATACACTAATTCAAATTTTCATGTTCCATTACCAATATACACGTGACGGGGCATTCATGTCCTATGGACATATTTCTAGTTTCATAAATTTCTTACTTATTTAATTTTTTATTTTAACTACTTTTTTTTCAAGACATCAGCAGAGTTTCCGAAAACTTTCGGTCCTGCCGGCAAAACCGATAAAAAATCGAAATGTCCGATAAAATTCACTAGAGTACCGGTCCATGTGACCGATTATGGTGAGGGTTTGTCCTGATTAATTTACTGTACTCTAATCTATTGCAATATCTTAATAAATGAAAATTTCAATGCAGCAGGCTCCAGTTCTTCGTAAATATCCATAATCTTATTCATTTTGCAGTGCTACTTGACTTGTTTACTTCCAAAAACGATCATTTTTTCCTAGTCCGAATTTCCTCCATTCCTCTGTTATTGGTAAACACATGCAGTATATAGGTCATGAAGTGCAATGCCCACTGAGAAAATGTAAAAATAATTTTAAAAATTTATTTTTTATTTTGAATTTCTATCATAACTGCTATTTATATATGATTCATTTTAAAAGTGAGAATTAAATTTTATATTTTTAAAAGAATTCTAGAAACCTTGAGAAGTTTTCTTTTTCAAGAATTAAATTTTTTTTATAATTAGTTATTTCTTTCCCCCAACATTTACTTTGGGCTAGTGACTTTATTGCTGCCACAAGCCTGTGTGAGCTGGTGTCATGCTTGAATTAATTGTAGTTGCATAACCCTGGTATCACAATCAGTGTTTGTGAGCCACAATTTTTTTTTTACATATTCATTGCCATTTTCTTTAAATTACATCTGACATGAAATATACACTGTAAATTTATTCGGACTGGTAGAATATGCTTCGGACTAGTAGAACACATTAAGTCATCAGTCCGAATGACTGATAGAAATATTTGGCTTTCGGAAACTCTGCATCAGGGAAAAATACACTGTTGTTCAAGACACAATTAAGGAAGATGGGGGCTCATCTGTAAATCAAGAACTCACAGTTCATAAGATACCTTTCAGCAGTTATTCACAATCATCTGATGGTGCAAATCCAAGCACAAATATGGATGATTTTGATCAGATTGTAAGTAGCAATTTAAGATATAAGATTTAATTGTTTTTGTTACAAGTCTCTTAAAGGATATTTTTACTTATTAAATTATTAACTTAAATATCCTTTTTTTAATGTTATATATACATACATGTATAATCAAATTTTCACAACATTTACAATAAAATGAATTTTATAATCATTCAAGGTGAGATAACATAACATATCCGTCCAAGCTTATTACCAAAAGTAACGAAGTTATTCCAAATTATTTAATCACTATACATAAATAATTTAATTTTGTTTTATTTTTTATATCGAATAATTTGGCCAAGAATAAGTCATTCCTTAAGTAGAGTATCAATCCAAGCAAACGTTGTGCCATTTTGAGGACCATGTCCTATTGATAGAAGGGTATAAAATTTTCAATTTTGGTTAAGTTGGTGTCTTACAAAGAAATTTTCTTTGTAGACAAGTACGCAAGTGTCCATTAATTCACAAGGCAGCCTCTGGTTACCAAGCAGTCAAGATACATATGACGAAGAGGAGGGAGGTGATCACCTAGAAAACATGAATAACAAGAGGAAAACTCTAGACACTTTCCTGCAAAGTTGTGGCCTAAGTCCAGTAAAGAAGCAACTCAGAACAGATTGGAATGAAGCATCTGACCGTACATGTACAAAAAGTGATTATATATCTTCAGCTAAATCAATTTTTCAAGAGGTTGTGAATGCTTTTGTTCTTTAATTGAAAATTTCCAAATTTTTTAAACACTATTTTGTTTAAATTTAATAACCATAAATTCCTGACGTTTACATGTTATGTCACTACATTAGGAAACTGTTGCTATGGTATGTTTTTAATTTTTATAGATTTTGGTGTGTACATGGATCTCATTTAAGATTTTTGCTTTAATCTTTTTATGCACACTTAATTAAGTTTTAATATGAACAAAACAATTTTAA